GTCAGCAGTTAGACATAACAGCTGCCGTCATACCCTGATAATTCAGGCAGGAGTTAGGCATTAGTCAATCAACTGTATGTCTCAATTCTAGTATACACATACCAAGATTGTTGTGTGACCCCACCGAAGACTTTCTGAGTAGGCTCTTCCTACAGAGAAGTCCTCTTAACAAATATTATCAACTACATTCAGAGTCTTTTAGAAATTTGGTATGAATGTAGAGTCTAAAAATTCTCTGTCCAGCTCTTTGCTTTCTATGTTTTGTACCTTCCTCTGGGTAATCCTTGTCGCAGATCATTTTTATATCTGTTTCTTTCAGAAATGGACATAGAGAGAATATGTAAAGGGGAGAATAAATTCCACAAGCTAATTCTGCCAATCATAGGGTGGAATTGAATGCTTTCATTAAAAGAAACAAAAATAAAAACAAACAAAAAAATCAAATGGATTTAAATTACATTAGCAACCAATCAAGGAAAAGAATTGGTTGTCAAACTGTTTTTTGAACAGAATTACTGTAAGACTACATGAAAGACAAGCATGCTTTTCAGTACATATTTTCTTTGAAGAGGAAATATCTTTCCAAATTTTTTATGACAGGATTTCTTTTCTGAATCCACTGAAAGATTATCAAACTTTAAAAATAGTTTACATGCATTGTACTTAAAACTCTATTAAATGTGGTTTAGCAAAAGCAATGGCTTGGTAAATATGTCCTTTTAATCTCTTTTATTAAGAGAATTATTTATGAAATTAGTCACTGATGTAACATAAGCCAAAATAGAAAAAAAAAAGATTAGAAAAGATTGAACACTGGGGAATAAAGTATAAAGTAATATGGTTAAAATAATTTTTTAAATACCAGTTATAGAAAAAAAGACCCATTAAGTGTCCAATAATCAGAGAAAAATACAGAACTGGACTCCTTATGTTACTAACATTTCCTCAACAAGTGCTCACTGAAGGCTTACTATGCTACAGTAAAGCATTGGGCTGGCCATTGACGAGGGTAAGAAGATGAGACAGCCTTTGCTCTTGAAGTGCCTATTAACTACAGTATGCAGCAAATACAGATAGACAGACAGATACACACACACACATGCACACATACATACAGATACACACAAACACACACACACACTCACACCAATATAATAATTATGTCTTAGTCCAGTGTTTGTCAAACTTTAATCTGTTTAAGAATCATATGGGGCCAGGTGCAGTGGCTCATGCCTGTAATTCTAGCACTTGGGGAGGCCGAGGTGGAAGGATCACGAGGTCAGGATTTCAAGACCAGCCTGGCCAATATGGTGAAACCTCATCTCTACTAAAATAAATAAATAAATAAAAAATAAATAAAAAATCAGCTAGGCGTGCTGGTAGGTGCCTGTAATCTCAGCTACTTGGGAGGCTGAGGCAGAGGACTGCTTGAACCCAAGAGGCAGAGGTTGCAGTGAACTGAGATGGCGCCACTGCATTCCAGCCTGGGTGATAGAGCAAGACTCTGTCTCAAAAAAAATAAACAAATAAATTAGCTGGGCATGGTGGTACATGCTGGTAATCCCAGCTGAGGCAGAGGACTGCTTGAACCTGGGAGGCAGAGGTTGCAGTGAGTCAAGATTATGCTATTACACTACAACCTGGGCGAGAGAGGGAACTCTGTCTCAAAAAATAAAAATAAAAATAAGTTGCTTATATATAATTCAGACTCTATAGAATTACTCTCAGAGATTCTGATTTTGAAATCTGGAGTATAATTCAAGCTTCCCAGTGATTTGGAAGCAGAAATTCCAGGAGCCACATTTGGAGAAACACTGCATTAGACAGAAGCACGCCATTAAGGCAGCAGCCTTGTCTGACTTCTTCCCCACTATTACCCAAACTATAGGATAGAGTCTGGAATGTAGCAAGCCCTCAGTACACATATCTGGATAAATGAATAAATGCATATGGTAAAGCTCCACCATCAATGATGCAAGCAAGATGTGACATAAAATTCAGAAATATAATCAGCTCCTTTCTTTAAAAAGCAGGTTCCCTTGGATGAAGTCAGAAGACACGATAAGCGACACTGTGCACAGTGTTTCATTCAGAAATATTCTTCTCCGTGGAATGAGGTCCTAGATCTGAGTAAATGTAACTGAACTCTTCTGCCTCAGGGTAAGTTCATTTTTCTCCCATTCACTGGTAGCATTTGGACCCCAAGGGCCCTCCTGTATTTGTCTGAATAGAGTCATTGTTCCTCCAGGAAAGACATATAATTTCATGTTGCCCACCCTGGCATATGAGAATTCCTCTGGTGGAGAGGCAGAAAAGCTCCTCTTTTAGGACTCTCACCATAGAAATGTAAATTAATTATAGTTCTAACTGGAAAACATCAAAATTGCAGAAGAATAGGTTGAACATATAAGCAACTGACTGTTATTTATTTACAAAATGGAGTCACTGGCATAGATCTTCACAGAAACTGTAATATTCTAAAATAGCCTTGTGGATTTTCTTTCTGAAGTTCTGGACCAACTTCAGACACGTCACAGCTGCACTGATTTTTACAAATAGCTACAAATAAATTAATTTTTTAGAGTAATATACATAAGTGAATGTAAAGGTAAAATAAAATGTTTAGATGGCTGTATAATAAAATTTTAAAAATATTTCAAGAATATTACTAGTTTTGGAAGGAAAAAATGGATAAGAAGGCAGAATGGGAAAGACAAAACAAGAAGGAAAGAAAGCACATTATGGGCAAGAGTAGAGAAGACAGGAACACAAGCCATTTCATGTCAGGTGTGTTACTGCAGGGAAAGAAGCATCGCCAAGCATAGCATGGTTTCAGCCAAGAGGCTGCCTGAGGAAGGATGAGGACAGTCATCCTCATGAGATGGAAAGGAATTGAAATCTACAATTTAGGGGCATTAGACGGAACCTGCTCTGAAGCTTCTCTAGAAGTAGAGCTCTCAGAAAGAAAAACAACAAACTGGACTACAATAAAAGAGCTGTGTGTTCTGATCTGCCATCAGCAAGCAGGAAGACCTTAAACAAGTCACCCTCTCATGTCTCCTTCATAAACTGAGGTTTGGGGCCAAATGACCTGTAAGATTCTTTTCAGCTTAATTGTATGGCTCTGTGCTATCTTATTGGTGAGAGAAGGGATAGGGGAAGAAAGGAAAGAAGGAAGGGAGAGTGGTCCTCAGAAGGGGAAAAAAGAGGTCCATGTGGAACATGTGCCGGGAGGAAGAGCAAGTCTTATCCTGGAGCAGGTCTGTTAAGATGCAGGCTGCCCTGTACCCTGTAGCAAGAAGAGATGAAAGGTCTCCTACCATCCACTAGTAATTTCACTTGAGAAGGTCAATTGCAAATAAGTCATTTCCAGAGAAATTTACGTTTTGTGACACGTAAAAGCCCATTCATTTTTAATAATTTTACACTGACTTTAAGAAGTTCTCTATTGTCCAATAGGATACACCCACTCTTACCCTTCCACTCACTTTCTACAGAGACCTATTCAGCCTTGGAATGCAATGCATTTCACTTTGAGGTTTGAGTTCAAATTTGAAATTTTCAACCACCATCTTATGAAGAGAGACATAAATATAAACAGACCCATCCAGACTGCAGACACATGTATGTATATATGTGTGCACGTATTATGTTCCAAATTTAATGTGAATGCGGCAAACATTAATGCAGTCAGACTGCTTTTTCAGTGCCTCAGAAATTTCTACCAAAGTAAAGCCCTCAGGAAAGAAAAAAAGAAGATCACTATACAGATTGCAGTACTACAATTTTAAAGTCTCCTATGCTTTCCACGACCTCTAAACCATATAACCACCTTTTAGGCTCTGATTCTAGGGCTAATTCCTGACCTCAAGACATTTTATTTGTCTGTGATCCATTATGTCTACTCTGTATTTTAAGATATATGCCCATATAAATTTAGTGAACATTAAATCAATCACAAGTATTTAATTAAATTTAATGAAATTACACTCAGAATCTAAAATGGGAACGCTGTGTGAGAAGTTCCACTTCATTTAGTGGCAATAAAGGAGATGTGTTTAGAAATAGATATTAATTAATAGATAATTAATATCTATTAATTTAGATTAATAGGTATTAATAGGTATTAATATCTATTTATAAATATATATTGAATAGATATTATAGTCAAACTACAAGTTGACTTAATACAGAGAGAGTCAAGGGCATTTGCTTTTAACTTAGGGAAAAGAAATGATTAACAGAGAGGACATCAGACTTAAGTAGTATGCGCTGGTCAATTACTAACTTATTTACATAATATGAGATGAGAGATTATAAGGTGATGGGTTCTTTGGGCTGTCAGATTGGTTTCTACAAACTCTGACACCCTGCTCTGATATTACCCAAAATGGCTATACAAGTTTTAAGTAAGAATTAAATTATGAGTTTATAGAAATCTATAGGAGTTATTTTCCAGGTGCAATAATAATGTCAGCTTGTATAATATTTTCTGTTTAGAAAATAACACAGCCTAGGTTGGGCAGAGTGACTCACACCTACAATACCAACACTTGGAGAGGCAGAGGCAGGTGGATCAACTAGAGGCTAGGAGTTTGAGACCAGCCTGGCCAATGTGACTAAACCCCATCTCTGTTACAACTTTTAAAAAAATTAGCCAGGTGTGGTGGCGACTGTCTGTAATTCCAGCTTGAGAGGTTGAGGAATATGAATTGCTTGAGCCAGGGAGGCGAAGGTTGTAGTGAGCCAAGACTGCACCACTGCACTCCAGCCTGGGCAACAGAGTAAGACCCTGTCTCAAAAAAATAAAAATAAATAAAAAAATAACACAGCCTAAAGTAATGTCCTTTTTATCTGAAATAAGAACAGGGAAATAGATATAAAATTCATTCTCAACTTCAGTTTTGTTGATTAATTTGCTTTCAGAATATTTAATTTTATTAAAACGTTGTGTATTTTAATGTCTTGAACAACAGAAATCAAAACGCAGAATCACATACCTGTGTCTGTTTAGGACCAATGTCCATTCTTTCAAGAAGGTCATTTAAAAAAGCTGTAACACTGTCCCATGGGTAAATGCTGTTGGAACCATCCAGCACTATGACTATGTCCAGTTGAGTGCTGCATTCTGTAATAAAAGCAGTCAATTGCACAAATTTCGAATCTGTTTTTTTCCAGAGGCATATGAAATGCTTTCATGGCTAAAAGTTTATTTTAAAAGATGAACAGATGTTCTACAAAGTAGATACATTGCTTCAGCAATAAAAAAATAGTTTTAGAAAAAGTAAAGGTGATACAAATATCCATTGCATTCAATAACAATTGGAGTGGGGCCTATATCAAGTAAAATTCATACTTACTGAATTTTAATTAATATTATATGAGAGTTATTTTTGCAAATTTTCTCAATATGAATTTTGTGTAACAGTTTTTATAAAACAGTTTTTGTGCATATCTCAAGGGAAGTTCTTTCCTCAAAGTGACTCACTCTTCAAATATATGCAGCATGATAGCTTTATCTATGAAGTTTAAAAATGACTCTGTAAAGTTATTTACATTAATATCAATTCCAAAAATAGAAGTCAGGTTTTGTTATATACTGGCAAAGCAAACATTTACCTAACTTGGTAATACTGGTAGCTAAGAAAATACTTCAAGCTTTTTGGTATGCTCCTTTGTATACATAGGTCTTATTCATCGCTTATGCTTTTCAAACATGCAGGAACATTGCATAAAATCTGTACCTCGTACAGGGGCAATGGAGTTCACGACTTGAAATGTGGGGCTGACGTCAGAACAGATTCCAGTTGTGTAATGCAGATGTCCACATCTATAGGCATATAAGGGCCCACATGCCTTTAAAAAATTGTTTTAAAATTAGAAATCATTAGACTGAAATATAATAGATCTTACAAAGATTGAAAATGATAGCCCTCCTGTTGTCAATAAATATCATCACTCTTTTCGCTCTTACCAGAAATCCTCCGTTTGGGTTGGTGACTAAAGTTGATCCAAATGTCATGTTCTCCTTTACTTCTGTGACATCGGGAATTGATGTATTAACTAAAAATAGAACAAAATCTTATGAGGGTGAAAAAGTTTCACAAAGTGAAATTAAGCATCATCTCATTAAGACATTCTATTTGTTTTGCTCATATCATAGCACATTCTTCTATCGGTTCAACTAAATAGTCTTCCAAGTATTCTTAAGGGATATAATGAACAAGCTAAAGTCTGAAGAGTTGGCTCATGTCCCAGAAACTATTTCAGATAGTTTTGCTGAACTGTGAAAGAATGCAGAACTAGCAGGGCAGTGAGAATGTGGGATTGCTTTTTGCATGTTCTTGCTAATTAAAACAAAGTTTTAAATCTCATAATACTGTAGATATAATGTAATCTTGTACACTTTGTCATAAATGACCAATGACGAAACAATTTTTGGTAAGAAAAGGGGAAATGTTAGAAGATCAGAAAACTCAAACACCAGATTTTTATTTATTACTTCCAAAATCACAGGGACATCCTGAGGTTTACAAAGGAAACTGGAGGAATATTAGAGCAGTGTCCAGGAAGTTTTGATAAAGGAAGCACAATGAAGAGAGTACGTTTGACATTCTGAAGGGAATGTTGGGTCCTGAAGCAAGAAGCATGCCAGCCTGACAATATTGACAAGAAGTTCCACCTATTCACGTTGAAAAGAAAAAGAAAATCAGACTGGACAGGAAAAACAAGAACTTCTAAATTCCGCTTAGTAGAGTGGAATACTAGAAAGTAGCAAAAATTCAGGTTGAGAAAAATTTGTCTCACTCTTTGTTCCAGAAGTTGTTTTCACGTTAAGACTGTATGTGGATTTAAAGTGGGGAATGGAAGCAGAGATTCTGGAATGGTCAGCTGGCCTTCCTGATCTGAGCAATGGCTTTTGTCCAAGAGTTTAGTCTGGTTTTCCTTGAGAGCACCTAGAGCTGGGAAATCATATGCGTTGATCTTGAATAATCTGGATTAGAGTTTTACATACAAAGCCTGACCCAGGAAAAGCATTCCTGGGACAATTAGGGACTAAAGCGAGAACGTCCCTACTGTACTTGATGTGGCTAAAATCTCTAGGCTAATTTTAAAACTATTCCAATTTCCAGTGATGTAGGAGTAACTCCTTTAAAACAACGTCTCTGCAAATCACAACTATAATTTCTAGGAAAAGTAAAAAATATACATGAAACAATCACCTGAAGGCACTGGAAAGGCGGCAGAAACTGGAGGGGAATCCATACTTAGAGGAAGATATTGGCGCTGGATGGGTTTCCTGTTTTTGTGCTTTGTTTTGTTTTTGTCCCCCACCTCTAACTCACCCCCCACCGAGGAAAGATCCTACTCAGTGGCTAAAACTCAAATAGAACTCCTAGTCTTACTGCACTGAATAAAAAAAGGACAGTAATTAGGGACAACGGCAGCAGCTGCAAAGTGAGAAGGAGAGTAATATATCTTAGAAAAAAGAGCCACAAAAGAACAGTTCTAAAATATGGATATATATTTTATCCAAATATCCAGATGACTTGAATAGTAAGTATGCGGAGTAGATTTCAAAGAGCCCAGCTGAAATAAAAACTGAATAGAGATTTTAACTACTAATTGGAAGAAAGTCAAGGCTTAGAAATTGAGTTGAGCCAAGTAAATTTCCTGCTAATAAAAAAAAACAGTTAAGGCTGTTCACATATAACCTAGAATCTCCACACCTGTAATTCAAAAATATAATCCAGGTTATGATCCAAAATTACTACCCATAAGACCAGACAGGAAAATGTGACACAACCTCAAAAAAAGGTAATAAATGGAAAGTGATGTTGAGGTATTCCAGATGTTGGAATTATCAGTCAAGGATATTAAAGCAGCTATTATAAGTATGCTTATGCACGTAAAGAGAAAAAGTGTTCATAATAACAAACAAATAGAAAATTGAAAAAAGGAAAACTGAAAAATGCAATATCTGAAATAAACTTGTGGGGCACTAAATCATTCCCATGGTATGTAATATTGTATAGAACATTGACAGGGTTCTAATTTCTAGATAATTTTAATAGGAATTTTTTAGTCATGTTTCAACTATTTCTGTGAAATATATCTATTTCAATATAAATTTATCTTGTGCTATTTGACTTTTAAAATTAAATTTATCTATTACAATTTTTAAAATTCTATTTCCTCTTGAAAACCAGGCACTAAGTTAAATTTTGTGGAGGGAATGTGATGGGCAGGTTTATTTGGAGAAGTTCTTTCACGTTACCACTGGATTAGAAAGAATTCTATAAAATGCAAGTAGTTAAAAGTTATAAAATTAGTAAGATATTCTAACTTTCACCTTGATGACTTTCTAAAGCAAATTAAAGACATGAAATCAAAATGGCATTCTATGTGAATTTGAAAGATAACTGAAAAATGATTACAGATTACTTCTGATATTTTCTTGAGTTGATTAAAATCTGTTTTCAGTGAGAACACTGGGCATGATTTAAGACTAGATTTTTTTTCTTTTGAGAGAGAGTCACACTCTGTCACCCATGCTGGAGTACAGTGGCACAATCACTGTTCACTGCAGTCTCAAACTCCTGGGCTTAAGCAATTCTCACACTTCATCCTCTTGAGTAGCTGGGACTACAGTTGTGCACCATCACATCCAGCTAATTTTTTGTATTTTTTGTACAGATGAGGTCTCGTCATGTTGCCCAGGCTGGTCTCAAACTCCTGGGCTCAAACAATACTCCTGCCTTGACCTTCTAAATAGTCGGGATTACAGGCATGACCCACTGCACTTGGCCTAAGACCAGATTTTTTGATTTTACTTACCTGGTAGATCCAACTTTACGCAAGGTAATGATTTACCTCTCCCAACTGGACACTTATAGACATCTCCAGTTCTGTTTTTGGGTTGGCCAACTAAAGGAGAACCAATAAGCACCCTGAAAGTTAAATAAATCAATAAACATTTCTGAACATTGAGAAGCAGTTTATATGAGTTGCTTTATGACTAATTCTAAGATAATTGACAATAACATTCATAGACATAATCAGATAATAGGCTGTTAGCAATTTAATGTTATCTAAACTAAGCAGAGAGCCTACTTACATACTGATGTGGATTTAAAAGTATAGACATATGTATATATATGTAAACACACACATATATACACGTGTATATATATGTATGTATATACATACACATATACACGTGTATATATGTGTGCGTATATGTAGGAGAGAGATCTCAGAGATTTTGCTTTATTATTTTATGTATCATGTTATTTTATTTGGGTATTGAAATAATAATTATTGGCTAAGTCAGCTACTAAATTAACTTAGAAAACACACGTGGAAGTATAAGTGACTTTTCCCATGGTAAATAGATAATTTTATCGAGAAGTCAGGAAATACAAACATTGGATCATCATAAGATTTACTAGTAGCATGTGCAGGTTGGTAAGCGCTTAGGAAATAAGAATAGTTACGAAATCCAGGTTAAAAATCACTTACTTTCCTTTTAGACAGAATTATAAAACCATTCTAATAGAAATTAATGGAAAAAATATGTAATCACAACTAATTTTAGTTCCAGCAAGTCACTTAAGTCTCCCATGGTATCTTCAGGAATAGGATGAATGAAAGTGGTTAAACAATAAGATACCTGGGTGGATCCACAGCTGCTTATTTATTGCCGGCTGAGTAGCCATGCCCAAAAACTCTGATTGCTAGCAACCACAGGACTCTAATCATGTGCTGAGATTTTGTACTTGGATTGTGTTAGATTATAACTTTATTAAATACTTTAGTGAAGATATAGAAAGTATAAAAATACTTATCAATCAGCACCACAAGGCAATAAAAATACTTAGTAAGTATATCAACATACATATTTGGAAATTCAGATGAATCTCAACTTTCTGAAATAATAAACATAAAGTTTACTTAGAACCTACGTAAATAACTCAACTGCATACTACTATTTATATCAGTGCAGGATGTAGGAGTCCTCACTTAATAGGAGTTTGTGTGAAAAAGGCATGGGGTATTTAGTTGACAGCACATAAACATGAGCAACAGCATATTTTAGTGCCAAAAATGCTAATGTGACTTTAGTCTGCATTGCTGGAAATAGATGCCCTGGTCAAGCAGTGATAGCTCCCCTGTGTTCTGTGCTGGTCAGGCCATGTCTGAAATCTCTAAATTAAGAGGGACATAGGCACAATGGAATGTATTTAGGAGACTATGACTCAGATGGTTAGGAGTCTGGTAATTTTGTCAGAAGATGCTGGGAAAGTTGGGGATGTTGGCATGGAAAAAGAATGCCTGCAGGAGAAATGGGAAGTTGCACTGAGGTACAAATGGATTAGTTATACATTTTGAAAATTTAAATATTTATAAGTCTGTCATATTGAAAAGGAATGGTATTTATTTTGTGTAAGCCCTTCAGGCATACTAGTATTAATGAAAATAAATTTTATAGCAATCATAGATACTAAGCTACTGAATAGACTCCAAAACATAGTTTTAATATAATGCCTTTGGAAAGCAATTTCTGATATGTATAAAGAATTATAAAAATGTTCAAACCCTTTAATGCATAATTTTTACTTCTGGGAATCTATCCTAAATAAAATGACCAAAAATAAAAGTGCAATGCACAAAGATAATGTCATAGTGTTATATATAGTCATGAAAGAGTAAGAGAAATATGGTAAATAAAAACTATTACAGGATCATTCTATAACATATTGTACATTTATTTACAAAGTAGTTCATAAGATTATATGGTAGGATAAAAAATTACTTATGATTGAACTCAAAGTGAAAATTTATCTAATTTGGTGAAAACCTGTGACCTAATTTAAAGTGAAAAATACCAAATTACTATGTTCATTATACTACCAATGATAATAACAGATAGGATTTATTGAATTTATACTGTGTGCTAGGCCGTGTTCTAAGTACTTCCCTTGTATTAAATAATTTATGAAATGAAACATAGCATGAACTTTGGTGCCAGCCTATATGAGTTCTAATTATGGCTTTTCCATTTGCTTAGCTATATGGTTTAGGACAAGTCAATTGTCCTGTCTGTGATTTAGTTTCTTCATCTATAAAATGGAAATAACAGAAGTATCCATTTCAGATGATCATCAAAAAATTAAATAAGTTAATGTATATAAAATGCTTACAACAGTAATTGGCTTATAGTATGTGCTATCTAATGTTAGTTCTTCTTATTGTTATCAGATACTTATTTCAGATGATTAAACAACTAACATCTACGTTAAAAGATTAATAGGGAATACATCAAGAAAATAACAAATTATATAGATGAGGTTATGATTATTTTTTCCTAATACTTTCAAAGTTTTAAAAAATGTAATGGAATAAATTAGTTTTATAGTTAAAAACAGTTTAGAAAAAAATGAGCCTACAATTATTGAAAGTATTTAATTTAAAGCTAGTTAGAGTAATTAATGTTTATTAACAACATTTTACACGCTGGGCATTTAAGCCAGGTCCTGAGGATATAAAATGATATAAAAGTGAATAAAACACAATTTTAATTTTGCTTATTAGAGAGAGAAACACAACTATACATGTACTATTGCAATACTGAATAAGTTTGAACTTGACACAACTTCAGCAAATTCTTAAAAGTAAGAACTCCACTCCTTTGATAAACACCAAGTAAATCAGTGTAACTGCAGTAGAAGTTGAGGTCAGAGAGGTAAAAAGAATCTAGATCATGGATGTTCTCATAGTTAACTTTAAGAACTTTGGATTTATTATATGTGGAGGGAAGCTGCAAACCACTGAAGCTTTTAAACAGTGGTATAACATGATCTTTTTGATTTACAAACCTTATTTGCTTGAAGTTTCATGAGTAAATTGAAGACGAACAAAATTAGAGTCAAAGGACAAGATATGAATTCCTAAAGTAATCCAGATGAGGATTTGAATTAAGGAAGTAGAGAGGATGGAAGGACTCACTCTATAAACATTTAGGATATAAGCTGTCTTTGTTTCGATTTCCCCAAAAGCAGATCCAAGACAAAAACTTTGGTACAGGTAAGTTTTTTTGGAGGCAATTCCAAGTATGCAGAAGTGTGGAGATGGGGGAAAAAACGGGGAAGGAAGAAAGACCAAGAAAGGATGCACTGATAATGAGTTACTTCTATAGGCGAGTGGGCTCAGTCTTGCTGGGGAACTTCTCAGAAACCACATGGAACGTGGATGAGCATGATATGGGCATGGATGAGCCCCTAAAAGGGAATGTTACCACCTTGAAATATTCTGAGAAGAGCACTAAATGCTGACATCTGAGGGTGAAATAACACTTAAGATTTCGAAAAACAAAGGACGAAAACTAGGTAAGAGTGATCAGAAAGGGAGAGAGAATCAGCAAACAGTGGTGTCACAGAAACCAGAGAAGGAAGTAATATAAAGAATAGGAGGCAAGAATGAGAGCTATATGTTTGTGGCAGATTTCAAGTAACTTGGCTAAAAATGAGGGAGACGGGGCTGTGTTAATAAATGTGGACTTTTCTCTTCCATGGTAATGACAAACCATTAAGGGTTTGAGGTGTGTCTAAATTTGTCATGGAGGCAAGATGCATATGGCTAAATGATGGCAAGAAAGAACCGGTAACAAGAGAAACCCTGATTTCACAGGAGCGAGAGTAGAATCTCTGAGTAGGTAGACAGGGTGGATCCAGAAGGAGAGGTTTGTCTTACAAATGAGTAAGAGTGACCATTCCTAGGCAGCACTCTGGACGGCCCAGTATTGAGTAGTTTGCAAGTGTGGCCAATGGTTTGGAATGGTGTACAGTTTTGCAACACAACTTTGACTTTTATTGTTTCACGAGGTAGAACCTGTTTTTCCACCAATTGAATCTAGGATTTGTTCTGATAAATAGAATGCAGCACAAATGATACTATGACTTCTAAGCTAGGCCTTAAAAAGGTCTTTACAGAATCCATTTTACCTATTTTTGAAATCTGAGAACATCATGATGTGAAGAAGCCCAGTGTGGCTAATGGAGGATAAGAGACCACATGGAAGAGAATAACTGGTGCTTTAGCTGACAGCATGCATTTCCAGACATGTAAGTAAAGCCAGCGCAGACACTCCAGCTCCAGTTGAGGGACCAGATGGTGAGCCCAGGCAATAGGAGAATACCCACTCAATCCACAAAATCTTGAGAAATTATAAACTATTGTTGCTTTAAGCCATTAAGTATTGGAATGATTTATCGTGCAGCAATAGTTAACTGAAACAGGAAGAGAGGATTAAATTTTGACCTAGTAGCTTCTCTCTCTCTCTTTTTCTTCTTTGGAAAATAGTAGCTGCAGTCATCTAGTGAGATTTAGGGAAGAGGTAGAGGGGTGGTGGGCTTGTGGAGAGTGATGAAGATTTAAACTGATAAGACATACATAGAGCCTGATAGGCAGCTCCTCTGGTCAAGAAGAGGTGGATTGCAGCTGGCCAGGGACGTTTTGGAAGGTGTTTTTATAGTGGATGGGAGTTAGGCCTTCAAAGTCCTTTCCAATTCTAAGATTCCATAACCTGAATAGAACAAATATAAGTCTGTAGACAAGAACTGACTCACTAGTAGGAAAATAGGTAATATCAAGTGGGGGAAAATCTAGGATAGTTGATGAAAAGTGAGTCTTGTACAGCATGCTAATAGGAGGGCTATTGTGAATTGTAAGGTGGAAGGAAAGGCAGATATGGATAGCCCAGGGAAAAGTGTGGAGACAGGAGAATGAAGATTGAAAATGGAAGATAATGGGAAAGTATGAGTGGCTAGAACTCAGCATAAAGCTTCCTTATACACAGGAACAGGGAGCTTGAGATCTGGCAAGCAGTTGGTTTTGAAGGAAAAGGTCTGGAGTTTACGTTTGATCTCTAGGGCAATGGAGGGCACTTAGA